AACCTCAACAGTGGTGTGACTCTTGGGATGGCTCTGTCAGTCAGTCCATCAATCCATTGATCCAAAGCCAAATGTCAACAATATGTCAACTATCGGATGAACTGAACCAACATGAAATTTGGTAGAAGTATTCAGATAATTTTCTTTTAGAATAAAAATACTACATTTCGAGGCCTTCTTGAGTTTAGGGGGTGTAAGATAATATACACAGTAGGCCAATATCTCAGCATTTGGTGCACTTCTGTGAGGAAAACTAAATGAAGCCTATTAGTGTGGTGTTAAAAAATTGAAAAAATACATTATACAGACAAAGAAATGTATAAAAGGTTCCTAAAAAGGAAACGGAAAACCCATCTCTGATCAATATTCACAGGAAATAATCTGCTCAAAATCCATCCAAATGACTTGTTTTACACAAATATCCTGCCATTATTGTGTTCACTGGGTTTATTGTACACTTAATCAATTGTTCTGTACTGTTATCCATTGATTATAATATAAAATATCCATAAAATATATCACTTAGTCAGGGGTTGTGAGTTTGATAGAAAAGGGGTCCCTTAAAAAAGGTTGGGAGCTACTGCTGTAGTGGATTAGTAGGTCTATTATACTTTATCACTAATGTCAAATTTCATGCCCGGCATTACTCTCTATTACAAAGTTAAATGCACTTTCCTCACTGACAAGAAGGGATAATAATCCCATGATATTTCTCTGTAAGGTTCTGCTGTCAAAGCTTTAAAACTACCTTGCACCTCTTCTCTCATTTATTCATGTCTCGCAACTACAATAATGAATCAACTTCAGATATGTCATCTGTAATCTTGACAGGACTAGATGCAGGTAACACCTTTTAAATGGAATTAAATTACAGTAGAGTCTTTAATCTCCCTTAAAGATTTAAAGCTTTTTTATCTGGTATTTTTTATGACCCTTGTAATTGTTTCTATTATTGGTGCTTGAGCAGCCATATTGCTATGCCAACAGTACTCCAAACTTTCTTTCTGTGACACCAAATAAGCCCACGAATTTAGATTTCTGCCTGACTGTTGTCAAGTATGTGAGGCCACATTTAGACACAAATTATATATAAATATATATTTTTTTTAATATTTAAATAATTATTCAAAAACATTGTTATTAGAACTCTGTTATATCATCCCATTGTGTTTTTATGCTAAGAGACTCACAATAGATATATTTTATTACATTATATGATCATTTCTATTAGATGGGTTTTGCCTAATTTGTGTTTTATTTGATCTTGTATTTTCCTTTTCAGTAATTCTGCAATGCTGTTTTAGTTTTTAGTTTTTTAACACTTTGTCATATCTTAATGCATCTATTTTAGTGTTATTGTCTCTAAATCTCTATTTTGTCAGTGAAGCGAATCTTAAATGCCTCATGAGGTTGGCTAAGACATGTTTATTTCCCATCAGAGCTGTTGTTATTAATCTTCATGACTCTGATTCCACAATGATCTTTTCTGTCATGCCGTTGTGAAAATGTGCTTTCAGTCGGCTCATCTGCCTCACACACAGCTGTGTTTTTGGAAAGTGACATCTTGACAGCACCTGGGCCTGGCAGATTCTCAGGTTCTGATGATTAAACACTGGTCATGATGTGATATTCTGGACTGCACATTATTCATAACCAAGAAATGGTAGGGACAGTTGCACATACTTGCAGTAAAACAACATTGTAAACTGTTCTATAAGGAGTTTTAATTGGCCTTAAAGGTTGAATGTGTACAACATTTAGGACGATCTATTGGCAGAAATTAAACACAATATTCATATGTATGTTTTCATAGTGTATAATCACCTGAAGGAATCATTTTCTTACATTTTTTGTTACCTTAGAATGAGCCGTGTACTGCTATGTTTCTATAGTAGCTGAAGAAGACAAATGTCTAACATGGCCTAGGATTTTCTCACAGCCTGTATTCATTCCCACTTTGTCAAACACAGACCCAGAGCAGTGTTCAGTCAGATGTAACCTGAAACTTCACCACTATATGCCACTTTAAGGTCCTTTAAAGTTATTCTACATGTGATTTGATAAATGTTAAAGCTTTAACTTTACCAAGGATAAAGCTATTTAATGCCAGCAGAAAGCATGATTCTAAGGAAAGATTCAAGCACTTAAACAATGTCAAACTGTACCTTTTATTTCTGGCTTTGGTCATAAATGTTGTATTGCCAGTACAGTAACATGTAGAAGTAACATCATGTGCTAGATGTTTTGTAATTTTCACTATTGATGACCAACACTGGAGTTTTAAGGCTGATACAGATTTGACAGTTTAAAAAATAATAAATCTTGTTGTCAAATTATATCTTGGATCTCAAAATATCACAGAAACGTTGGCAAATGGGCTTTAAAATAAATATTATCACTATAAGAAACATAATTTTGTGACCTTGTGTGACTGACAGAATTTAATTGTGATCAAGAGAATGTCATAGTTAAAATATAGAAATAATTTTTATAATTCTTATAAAATTATAGCAACCACTGCTGCTGTTGACCTCTGTATCACGTTAGGAATAATAATAGGAATAGACATAATGGGTGCTTAACACTGTAACCTTGATGTATAACCTCCAGATAAAATCAAAAGAGAATACAGGTTGCCTTTAAAGAGCCATATAAATTCTGGAAATGTTACTTTCCCAAAATAGCATCATGTTAAAAGCGTGAACCGAAATGATTTTTTGTGGTTGCATAAGCTAAAACTCTACCAGGCAAACAGCTCTAAATAATTTGCCAGTCTTGTGGAAAGCCATTCTCATTTCATATGCTCATATTGCTGCTGTGTGTGCACTGCAGTTATCCTTGTAGCCTGTTTTGTCATTTAGTGGAGATATTCATAGGAGACTCATATTCCAGCTTTAAACAAGGGAAAGCAAGCCAGACTTCTACCCCTTTAAGCTGCATGGAGACCAGAGTGCAACACAACGCACTTTGTGTATCTGAGTGAGCACGTCAGTCCATTTACCTTCTTTTTCTCACATCACTGCGATTCATAAATAGATTTAATATGTGCCCTTATTTATGAAGTTTCAGTCTTAACAGAAAATACTTTCATCATGTTGTGCATCATGTTTTCTTGCTGCAGCCAGAACCTTTTTTCCCCATCTGTGTGTTTGTACATGCTGAGGACATCAAAGCCGCCTCCACCCCGGGGGTTCCACTGCACATTTACTTTGTTTGTGTGCTGCTTTGAGTGTGTGTGTGTGTAAGACTTTGGGCTAGAGTTGTGATTGTGTGGCGGAATATGTGTTAATTAAATTAACTTAATGGACAACATGAATGACTTTTGCAGTGTCACACTATGTTAATGACAAACCACTTACAGACATATAATGAACTTCCTGGATTCATTCCAGTCTGTATATTTCAAAAAAGTAAAAGCAGATCGTGGCAATTACTGACATAGCTGACACATAAGTGGAATCAACCACACGTTGTGTAGATAAGACATATTTTCTTTAGGTATTGTGATTCCACAATATGGATCATGTATGAATAAGTACGCTCAGTATGGGAGGCAGATATCTTTGTTTACATTGGTAGAGAGAAAAGTATTTAGCTCTTTCTAGTAAAACCTTTATTAGTTAAACATCCACTACTGACACTTTGCTTTATTGTATCATTTGAACTGTGTATCACTGAAACAGACTTAGCGAAAAAACCATGGCATACACAGGCATTTCCACACTTTTTTGACTTTTTTGGTTGTACAAGATGTATGCAGAGGTGGCATGAAGTATGTGTCTCAACTTCCCAGTCATTCCCAATTTATGCAATTCAAATACTGTTTATAGCCCCCAGTATGCAGGACATATTTGAATACACTAGGCAAACATAAGCATTTAAAATTAGCATAAAGTGGGCATGTCTGCAAGAGGGAGACTTGTGGGTAACTTCTTGTGGGACTTGTGGGTGGCCAATCAGATTTCAGGCCCTCCCTCTGGAAACACTCCTTGATGTACATACAAAGCATGTGATTTAAACATCCAATGAAACCTTGCTTCACTGAGGAGATGAAAAAAGGTGGCACATAAAAAAAGATCAGGAGCTATGAGACTGTAACCTTCAAATTAAGACATGAAACAAACATAAATGCAATATTTCCATCAGCTGCGTATACTCTTTACAATAATGTCAGTCAGTCAGTAAGTCACATTCACTTTCCTAGGCCTCCGCCCCCGTGGTCTGACAAAAATACACACAGGAGACAAACAGAAAGCCATTAAATACTTGATGCAGTCATGAATGAAGTCAGTACCTTTACAGCTTTGAAACATCCCTGTGGACTCATCAAGTTACTGACCCAGATGGCTACCAGGTTGCGGAGAGCATGCAGTTATTTTGTGTGAATGTCAGCAGCAGTGTGAGCTTCCTAGTACATTCGTACAGAAACACACTTTAGGTGAGTTGTTTTTTGTGTGGAAATCTGTGCCAAGTGTGGCTACACGAATACTGTATGACCCAAGTCCAGGTCCAGAGGGAGAGAAGAACATGACTGAAGCCAAGTGTGCAGAGAGCAGCCTGGGTTGTGCGCAAGAACAACCTCTGCATGTGGAATGAGTTCCAGGCAGGAGACAGAGAGGAGAGGAGGAGGAAGCACTAGCACAAGTGCAGCAGGCTTCTTAGCACTGGTATGTTAACAACACACCAGGTTTTGTGTGTGTCTGTGTGTGCACATACGTCGTATGTGTGTGTGTGTGTGTGTGTGTGTGCATGTGTGAGTGGTATCTGGTAGATGGTAGGGCATGATTGGCAAGTGCACGAGGGAGGATGGGGCCGCAAGACACTGATTGGTTGTGCTCCCTCGTAGGGTGTGGCCAGAATATGAATGACTGCCTCTGCCTTTCGCGCTGCCAGGTTTTGGGGACAGTTACTGAGGAGGGATAGGGTGTTTGAGATTGCGCGTGCAGAGGGGAGAGCATCGGAGCTTGTGAGAGAAGGGAGGAAAGAAAAGGGGAGGGGGTTATAGAGAGAGAAAGAGAACAGGAGCGTGTGAAGAGAGGGAGGGAGCTTCAGGCAGCGAGGCTGGACTACCGCTCAAACACTGCAGTCTTTCTTTTGCTTCTCTGAGGAAACTGTCTTTCTCTTCTCCCTGCTCATCTCTCCTTATTGCTCCTTCTTCTATTGCTGCTTGGCCATGACCCTGGTGGACACCTTGATCTCCTTGCCCACCTAGAGAAGAGGATAGAAATGCTGTAGCGGAGGAGGGGGAGACGAGAAGAGGGGACACCGCACACTTTGCTTCACTGATGAGAGTCTGGAAATTAATTAACCGCCGTCAGCACAGAAGGGGGAGCGCACAGAGGGGCTCAGAGTGAGGTGCAGGAAGAGAATAAGAGGGAGTTGAGGAGGGCGAATTGCTAGATGTTTGAAGAGCAGGTTGTGGAAAGAGGCAGAGTAACCCCTGGACACTTTTAGAGACGAAAGGGACAAGTTAGAGAAGACGCAAGAAGCGAGGGGTATTTGGGCAAGGGGAGAATTCAAAAGGGATACTAATTCAAGAAACCAAAGAAGGTCCACTCACATGCGTTATTCATCCTTTCATGCTTCTTTTTAACCTTACTATCATATTCTTAACCACATCCTTCCGTCTTAGCTCATTTTTTTTGCATGTCAGCAAAAGCACATCGACAGCCACAACCACATGCTGAACACTCAGCCACCACTTAGACCTCTCATTCTCAGTGGATGTGTGATCTGTTACTGAGTAAAAGAAGTTGATTGGCTGAAGCAGGGCTGCCATTACCTCTGAGCCGAGAGCACCTGCTCAGGAATTTCTCATGAGACCAGGTAGGACGTTTCTGGATCATTTTGCCAACCCAAAGCTGCTCGAGAGGTTGAGTCAAAGCCCTTCAGACGTTTCCCTGATTGAACTGTTACGAGATGAAACTGCAGACCAGTTTATCTCTCGTAGCATGACACCTGCGTTTGAGTGATTACAGAGAGGATGTGCAGATGTGTGTGTGTGTGTTGGGATTATGTCCTAAATACACAGAATTACACAGGTGTTGTGGCAGGATTATGCAAAGTCTCCAGCTGAATATAGTGGCACTATAGGATTAAAGAGAGGAACTCCAGTCAAGTGAATGACAGCACATTATCTTTTACAGATTAACTCAGCTCAAGTGTGATCACACTTGGGGTATAATTAATTCATCCATTCTAGGGTTTGATAGGGGTCATAATTATTTGGAGCTAAACTGGGGATAGGTTTAAACATTGCTGACAATCCGTCTCTCAGCCCTCAGTGGAATAACCTCTGGTCCCTCATTGTGGACTTTGTTCAGACCTGAAGTACACAGACTATTAAAGACTCTTAAAGGCTCATTCAGCTTCCATAATGAGACGATCGAGCACAGATGAGACTCCGTACCGGCGCAGTCCATCTCTGGACAGCAAGCCCGACACGCCACCATTCACTTCTGGGTTTCACCGCTTCAGTGGGGAGTTTGAGTACAAGCGGCCACCGTTTGCGTTTGGCTTTCACACGACAAAGGGGCCGCAGACGTCCAAGGGGCGCTATGCCCAGGGGAAGAAGTATGTGGTGTTTTACCTGGACCTCTCCTTCATATTCCTCCTAGAACTGCGGCGCTGCAGGATGGCCGAGGGTTGCATGATGGCCCTGCGATATGGAATGGTCTTCTTCAACCTCCTTTTCTGGGTGAGTCCTTTATCTTAAATCTTCTTATCTCTGAGTGTATGTGGGTTTTAGGGGGATGTTTGTTTAGCAGGAAGTAGTGCTGGCTTTTTTGACTTCTGATACTCATATTTTTCTTATCTTGTTTAGAGGAAGCTCTGATATGTGTGCCTGTGCAACCAGAGTGATGTGAGAGGAGTGAGGAGGGGGGAGTGTGAGAAAGAGACAGATCATGCATTTAGATCATGTGTACAAAGCCCACTGTGTGGGTGAGCTGAGCTTTTTCTGTTGCCTATACAGTACTTTAAGTGTGGGTGTACTCTGCATTGTTTGCTGTGCTAAGATTTGGCATATTTTGAGCATTGTGTGTACACTAGTTAATCACAGTGTTACTGTTGTGCTGTAATTCACCTACTTCTGCTTCACCCTCCTCCTTGCACATCAACGCCTCTCAGCCCATCAAAGCATCTGCTGTCAATCTGCTCTATCTGGACGATCGTATCTATTTGCCGCGGGGACGTTCGAGCTTCGGTGTCTGTCTGCCTCTGTCAATCCCACTCCGATTGCCCCACAACAGATCACTTTCATTTGCACAGTGAAGCCTGTCATGCTCCACAGCTGCGCTTCACATTTATAGATCTAGATCTGTGCTTCATCTGTGGTTTTTTGGCACTGACTGCGTTTGTGCAAACCGTTGCAACTTGTCACAGAGTTTTGAAGGGATGCTGGTGTCCGTGGTTACCTTGCTGGGATTACTTTGATTTCACACTTGTGTTCTTATTGGTAATGGAATCAGATGAAGCCTTGAACTATGAAATGCAATCTAGCTTCCAAGATGCAATCTCCCTCGGGGGAATGATGACCTCTTCACCTCCACATTTTCTGTCAGCTATAAACCGCTGTCAAAGAGGGGTTGCAGTGTTTGTTATTAGCGCACTCTGTCTGTGTATGTATGTGTGTGTATTGCCGCTGGGGATAAATAATGACCACATGACCATAACCAGCCTTCTCCTGAGAAGCCAATCGTGTTATGATCCTCCAGGTTAAAAGCATTGGAGCTCTTCCAATATAAAGCCTGTCTTTGAAAATAACACATCTGAGTCTTCGTGGCAGCTGATGGTTGATGTCAGACCTCACTGTCACCACCATTCCAGTGACAATTTACACGCTGTGTCGAGTGGTTCATCCAAAGCCCAGTTTCAGTCAGAATGCAGACCTTTAAGAGGGAGACTTCATAGGTGTGTGAATGTGACCTCAATATTCTACAGCAGAGAAGAGGGGATGGCGGCTCTTGGGACTGCCAGTCAACACCGATTATGAAAACTGACCCAATCAAAATGTGTTTCATCTTTACTTTCACTTTCAGAGTGACACTGCAAATGACAGAGTACTGTGTGAAAAAGAGGAGCACAGTAGGCCCTCCCATTAAAAACAACTCTCACTTAGATTATTAAATTATATTATTCAGTGAGACTGACTCAGCATTATGCAGCACTAAGCAGGTTTTATTATTGAACTTAGTATGAGCTGATTTTTTAGAAATGTGAAGTGAGTGGTTGGTCAGAGTTCATCAAGACAGTGTTGTATTTGGACTTTGACAGAAACAGATTTTGTATAATTTCTTTACATTCACACACTTTAGATTAGTCACATATGGCTCTTGCACATTTGAACACCTTTTTAAATTCAAGTGAGCTGGAGAAGCATGCTATAAAAGGGGTATAACTTTTAGGACAGTGTTGATTATTGTTCTATACAGTAATACCTGCCCTGGCTAAAAACAACCTAAATCTGAGACTCAGATAGTGGCCTTGCAAATGACAAATTGGTCTGGTTGGAAAATCACCTGTTTACGTATGATTATTGCTAATATCACAAAATGTACTACCATGAAACTGAAAGTGTGTGTTCTCGGTGGGTACACCGTGCATGAAAATAATAATGTTCCATTTTGAAAACATCTCACAGGATTACTAGGTCTACTAAGATCAATTCTCTGCTTATTTTTTAATGGACATAGATCACGCTTCCATGATCCATTGATTCTACTCTACTTGCTAGACTATAAAGTTTAAAATATATTTAGCCCATTTCTCCAGTGATAATATCCGTAAGAAGAGGTAAAACAACAAGCAACAAGGACAAAATGAGGACACACAGGCAGGAAAACACATTTTACACGAGATGGAGATCATGACACAACCCTAGTTTGGATCAGGACTGCCTTAACAAATGATGGCTCCATATTGGTGGGAAGCAATTTATTCTGGCATTCAGTGTTCACAAAGCTCTGTATCAGGTGAAAGGACAAATCGAGTCTAGACAATTAAGTTTAGTTGTTAGTAATTAGATTAATGATTTGATTAATCAGATAGTCAAACAACAACTATTTGGATAATTACTTCATTTTTAAATATTATCATTATGTCATTGTGAATGGAACATCTTTACTGTTGGTTGAACACATCAAAAAGTTTGGTACATCATCTTGGTATATGGGTAGATGATGATTCATCAATTAATCGAAACAATAATAGACAAATTCACTAATATTGATAACAACTCTTAGTTGCAGCAGTATCAATGTAAAACCTAAGATAACTTGTTCCTCGCTTGTGGACTGGATCCTGCTCAGCACCATTATGCCAATTGCTGCCAGAAGAGTGGCAATGTTGCCAAAAGATGTATTGCAACAATACTAATGAATTTATGAGTATTGCAGCATTGTTAACACATGCTTGTCAACAGAGTGAAATTCCTGAAATATCACTTCCCTTTTGCTGTGTTTGTATTTTAGAAATTCACTTGATACAGAGCTTTATGAACGTTAAAGGCCAGAATTTATTCGATAGCCATCCAGGACTGTGACATGCACTGCAGTATGATTGTCCAGTTTTTTGACACAAGACCAAAAAGTCCTCTGTCGTGCAAGAAGATAAGGGTCGCTCCAGAGGCGGCAACAGAAAAAAACTGAAGAACTGGGTAGTTATAGTATGTGCAGTGACAGCTTTGGCTGAAATGACAAAAAAAACCTTGACAGGAAAATATAAAGATAAAGACAGCACAGTACAGGGATGACTTTTTAACTGACAGATGATCTCTGTGAATTGCAGAGCAAAAATAAATACGCCATGGCAACGAGTTCGCACCAAAGACATCAATATATAAATAAGAAAATCTCACCAGTTATCACTATAACCAGTGACTTAACCCACTGGCAGTGAAACCTTCTTTTGAAACACATGTAAATACCAACCACACCAGGAGAGCAGCATCAACGACAACAATAATCAAAAGCAGAATCAGTCTGTCTGCCATGTTCACTAAGTGTACATGAAGTTATTATTACTGACAACTAGATCAGAAGGTGACTGCACACATTCAGAGAAAATCTTATAGTGTTAATACGTCTGTCGATTTATATAAACCTCAACTTACATCTACACAATTTTGTTGTGCAGGTGGAGGAACAATTCGACTCCACATGCTGTGTGGGAAGCTGTTGTGACACATGTGACATACTATATATACCAGTCTGCGTATATACAGTACATCTTGTTTCAAATATTAAAATATTTTGCACTGGAAAGTTTGTATCTGAACTGAGCTGATGTTTGGATTCAGGAGCAGCTACAGTGGATTGCAGTAACAACCCAGGGTCATGGCAAATAAAAAAATCAAAACATCAATAGAAGCTACTTGTCTGCTATCCATCTGTATTTGTAGTATGTTCCAAACGCTCATATTTTTTAGCAAAATACAAAAAAACTAGCTGTTTGTCTGTTTAGCGTCAAAACTATGTTTGCTTAAATTGGATCGTGAATAATGTCATTGACGGAGTAACCCCAAACTGAATGAAATCCTTGTGGAGGTTGAACTGTCTCCCAGTGGAATGTCTCAGGTCAGATAGGTGCTCGGTGTGTTTAGGTTTGAAGACAGACCTCCTTGCTCTGTTTCCTTTCAGCTTGGCATCACGCAGCTCCCTCGTGGTGGGCAGCAAACTGCCAATCACCCGTGCTGTGTTGCCCTGAGAGCGGCAGGAGGTGGAGGAGAACCAAATGGTGGTAGAAGAGGTCAGGATGCTTTTTGTTATTGTGGCTTGTAAAATAAGACCAGAAGAAGATATGAAACTCTGACCTTCCTTCGATGGGATTTCTTAATAGAATGTGATATTTTTGTTTCCTTTTCAGCATCAGTTTGACAGCAGCTGTTTTAGCTAACACCTTTCTCTCTGGGTGGGGAGGTGCCAATTATCTCCTACCTCCCAAACCCTGCAGTTAAATACAAACCAGTTGGTACAAAGTAATAAAACAAATTTACTGAAGAATTAGAGAAGAAATTAAAATCTGAACAAACAAAATGGATCTTTCACCATGCATTTTCTTGTCAAAAGATGCCATAAAAATGGGCAAAAAAGAACACTAGACCAAAAAATAATGAAAACTTTTGTTTTATTTCTTCGGCCAATTACTTACAGGCTCCTCTATTATTTTTATTTCATGTTTGCTGAAGTAGAATGTTTTTATGGATTTTACAAAACATGTATTATCCATCATGTGGGATAGTTTTATTTTTGGGATGCTACTTGCATTTCTTGTTGGCTACTTCATTTTTCCCCTCTCTGACTGAGTGATTCCATCAATTAATCGTTTGCTCAGTGTCGCATATAAAGCATCAAATACCAGACTACATTTCAAACCCACTTCTGGGTGGAACTAGGTTCATCACTGTACAACAAAATACCATCTGGCAAATATCTATGTATATTTCTGTAGAGTGAACAACACTGTTTCAGTCGATGATTAGAAATTGGGGGAAAACCGAGTTTTAGTTGAAAAAACTTGTACTTTCAGTCAGCAAACAGTCTCCAGTCACAGCAGCCAGACGTGTCAGGATTTTCAGGGACAAACTGACTGCTCATGTTGGTGTCAGTGATTAATTTGCTCCCAAGGCAACTGCAAGAGGTCAAGAAGTCAAACTGTGATGGGTTAGTAAGAACGGGTGTTATGATTGAGGTCAGTGCT